TTTTTTTTCTTGCTTTTGGAAATTCTCTCTTAATAACTTCTTATTTTTATCCAAAATAAAAGTAAAAAAGGTAAACAACATGATGATCTAGCAAAGTTACCATTGAGTTATCTTTAAGATTGCAGATTTTCATTTTTTTGTTGTTTGCATTGGTTTATTTTTCCTTATCGTCACTCAAGACTTATGAAGCAAGTTGCTTGAATGAGGTGTGGTATCATTGGTAAAAATTCTTTGGAAATTACAAAATGATGAATAGGTTGCTTGAATAAAATTCTTTCTAACACACTCTATCATTGCTTGAATAGTTTGCTAGAATTCCTTCCAACTTAATATATAATATGCTAATGTAAAAGGTCCATTGTTGTGAATCACCTATTATTAAATGATTTTGTTGCTTCGTCTACATTTCATACAATGTCCTAGCTCAGGAGTTTCCTTATAGATCATCACTTTGGAGGCTAAGCCCCGGTAGTTAGGACTCCAAAAACTTTCTCTTAGATAACATTGTGAATCAAGTCCAATGAGAAGAATAGAAATTTGAATTTATGGAACTTCCTCATTTGTTTCCTCAAATCAAAACTCTAAAGTGTCTTTGTGCCTGGTTGATTGCATCTGCAACTTACCTATACTTGCACTCTATCTAATTGATTGTATAATTGTTTTGTATTTTTTTGTTTTATGACAAGTTTAAACAAGTATACGAATATTGCAATACTAATTCTCACCAAAAATATTTCTCTTACTAAATTTCAAATATGTTTATAGGGTAAATGTCTAACAAAGAATAAGGAGCAGGCTTCCTACGTCTATTCAATGTTGGAGTGGCTTTGGGCAAGAATTATTGCCACAATATTACTTCCAGTTCATGTTCTGGCAAAGAAACTTGTCTACAATAAAATCCATTCAGCTATTGGAATATCAAAGGTTTTGTTTTCTTCTTCACCATTATCTTATAATACTTATGTTGTATGGTTGTCTTTGGATAATGATTGATTTATAAACAAAATAGGGTGCCAATCATTTGCTAACTGCACTTCCCGGAAACAAAAAAGAGAATCTGATAAAAAAAAATTGCAACAAAATTGTAAAATAAAAGGCTAATGGCGGTTATAGATATCATCCTGACGTGTCATTTAGAACCTTGTATATATGCATCATAGTATCTATCATCTTCAAACAAAGTCATGTAAATTACTGGGTCTTCTGGGTCAGGGTACTATCAGTGATTTCTAAAGTGTTTAACATGTTTGATCAGGCCTATTGTGATTCTCAATGGAGTTCCTCTTTGGATAGAATAACTCTTCATGACCCATTATCTAATTTATCTGTTTTCTTTCCATTCTGTTTTTTTTCTTGCTTTTGGAAATTCTCTCCTAATAACTTCTTATTTTTATCCAAAATAAAAGTAAAAAAGGTAAACAACATGATGATCTAGCAAAGTTACCATTGAGTTATCTTTAAGATTGCAGATTTTCAGTTTTTTGTTGTTTGCATTGGTTTATTTTTCCTTATCGTCACTCAAGACTTATGAAGCAAGTTGCTTGAATGAGGAGTGGTATCATTGGTAAAAATTCTTTGGAAATTACAAAATGATGAATAGGTTGCTTGAATAAAATTCTTTCTAACACACTCTATCATTGCTTGAATAGTTTGCTAGAATTCCTTCCAACTTAATATATAATATGCTAATGTAAAAGGTCCATTGTTGTGAATCACCTATTATTAAATGATTTTGTTGCTTCGTCTACATTTCATACAATGTCCTAGCTCAGGAGTTTCCTTATAGATCATCACTTTGGAGGCTAAGCCCTGGTAGTTAGGACTCCAAAAACTTTCTCTTAGATAACATTGTGAATCAAGTCCAATGAGAAGAATAGAAATTTGAATTTATGGAACTTCCTCATTTGTTTCCTCAAATCAAAACTCTAAAGTGTCTTTGTGCCTGGTTGATTGCATCTGCAACTTACCTATACTTGCACTCTATCTAATTGATTGTATAATTGTTTTGTATTTTTTTGTTTTATGACAAGTTTAAACAAGTATACGAATATTGCAATACTAATTCTCACCAAAAATATTTCTCTTACTAAATTTCAAATATGTTTATAGGGTAAATGTCTAACAAAGAATAAGGAGCAGGCTTCCTACGTCTATTCAATGTTGGAGTGGCTTTGGGCAAGAATTATTGCCACAATATTACTTCCAGTTCATGTTCTGGCAAAGAAACTTGTCTACAATAAAATCCATTCAGCTATTGGAATATCAAAGGTTTTGTTTTCTTCTTCACCATTATCTTATAATACTTATGTTGTATGGTTGTCTTTGTTTTATTGTTGCCTTGTTTTGTTAAGTGCAATACTCTGTCTTTCTCTTAAAAAAAGTTATAGGAAAATAATGAAAAAGGAATTCTGGG